TTTGAAGCCAGCTGTCTGCAAAGCCGAGGCTATTTTGGGCACACGGATGGGAGTGAGCACTGAGCACGCCATGGCATGGATGTCCCATGGGAAGCAGCAGCCTCTTTCTGCCCGGCAGCTTCGCTCATCCTCATCTGACTGTCCTTGGCAGGGACATGGGGTGACAGTGGGGAAAGCCTCCAGCTCCACGGCCACCTGCTTCGCTCCCCGTCTGCTCCTGGGAGCAGGACAAGGTTTGATTTGGGGGCTTGCAGATGCTTCAGAAAGGGATGTGTGAGCCCCTGGGGTGCCGGCACCACCCTGTGATGGGAACTGCGGCGTGGTGAAGTGGGGTTGCAGCCTTTGCCAAGGCTCCTCTCGGGGAAGCTTTGATTTTGCATGTGGGAACCGAAGGCAGAGACCTGCAGGTTGCCGCTGCAGCGCCGGTCCAGGCCCTGCCGGCACAGGCCAGCAGCGGGATGTGTATGGTCATGTCGTAGGAAGCTGCTGTCTAAGCTCATTCAACAGAATGGCAGCTTGCCCTTCAGATTTCCCAAAACTGGCAGTACGAGTGGCAATTTGGACTTGGATGGGTCTCCTGCCCCACCCCAAGCCCCAGCAGACCACAGCCTGATTTCCAGGAACGCAACAGCCCTGAATGTCAGGCTCAGCTGAACTCTGCACCACAGCTAAACCTTGGAAGATCTCCCATTTTCCGTCTTTTTACGTGGACCTGTCCCAAATATTCGGCCAGCGATGGAAGAGCACCAGCTGAGTTGGATGCACAAAGGTGGACACTGGGAAAATCTGGTCTTGCGTTCACTGCTGATGCCCTTTTCCGCCAGTTAGACTTGGGATGTGTCTGGGTCCGTTTCCAAAGGACTTTGCCTTTCTTCCCAGAAAGTGGAGCTGGGTGTTGGGTCCCTGCCCGAGAGGAAACTGAGGCACTGGTGACTTTGCAGAGCCTGTTTGCTCCAAGCTGGTGTGTCCCGTTTCAGTGCCCCAGCTGCAAGGGCCATAGCTGGTATTTCAAGCCCCGGTCCTGGCCTCCATGCAGCTCCCTCCCTACACTGCTCACGTCCTTCCCTGCACATCAGTCTCTCTGGGCAGTGAAAACTTTGGAGCGACACAGAGAAGAAATCTGGCTTTTGGCCCAGCGCCTTTCCCTGCTTCTTTGGGTTGTAAATCCCAGGACGTGTTTTTGGCTTTGTGTTAAATTTAACTTCTGGAGAACATTTTTCTCCAGTAAGGATTCACAAGGCCTTTTAGTGACTTGGTAATTTGGTAGCGATGCTGGCGAGGATCCTGAAAGCAAAACCACTCCTGTTATTCCAGCGTGCACTTGCTGCCCAGGGAGCAGAGAGGCTGCGGTGCCGTGCCAGCATCCCACGGGCTCCGGGGACAGGTCTGTTCCGAGCACTTGGGCAGCAACGGGTTTTCTCCCCCCCTTCCCAGGAATCTCTAACAGATGCATGGTAGAAAAACACCTGGCAGATGTTTAGCAGGTTTGTCGCTCTTTTTTTTTGTTTTAAACTGGTGTTTTATTTGGATGGTACTGAAGCATGAAGCACATTCCCACCTGCCTGATGAGTGAGAGCAGCTTGCAGGGTAACAGAGAGATCCAGTTGTGGATGATGCAGAGATGGAGTTGTGGGATGAGTTATGGGGCAGAAGGATGACTTCGGGAGATGAGACGCAGAGTTTATTTCCCAGTGAGTGATTCAATATTTGCAGAGAACTGTCAATGATGTGAGGGACAGGAACACAGGAACCCCACCATGTTCATGGAGAACAGATTTCACTGCTGACGGCCCCTGCAAGTGATATGTTTGATGGGATATCATCTGCCAGGGTGGCTTTTCATCACTCTGGAACAAACATGGCCTCTGCCTGGAAAAGGCTACAAACAGCAATAGCTCCTGGAGCCGAGCGAATGGAGCCGAGGCCAGCAGAAACGGCAACATGGAGAAATGTCTGTTGGCACAACTTGCGTTGCTGAAATCCCAGGGAAACCTCTTGGGTTAGATCCCAGTCCCCGCTTGTACTGATGTTAACCTGGAGGGACTGTGTGACCTGGTGGCATCGGTCCAGTCTAACATGGGGATAACCAAGCTGTTCATCCTCCATCTACCCGGCAAAGAGAGTGAGGACACAGGCTTAGCATGGTGCCATGTGATGCCTGTCCAGCCCTACTGGGGGGCAGTCACTGGGTTTTATTTGGGTGCTTGGCAAAGGGGCTGCTCAGCTTTGTCAGGGTTGTGGACTGGCTGGGGACAGGGATGAGGGAATTGCAGGATGGATTAGTGGGTGCTGCGTCATCCCCGTCCTGGGAAGCTGCCAAGTGTCAGGTGGGGAAATCCTGACTTAGATGCACGATTGTTTATTTTTGCTCATTTGAATGGTCTTTATGTTTCAGCCAGTCCTCTGCCACTGGCTGGTGACAGGAGAGAGAGAGAGAGGGGAAAAATAATCCATGTATGAGGGTAGGGACAGCCCCATGTCCTGGTTGGGTGGTAGCAGCCCCACGTCCTGGCTTGCTGGCAGAGCCAGCTAGTGACAAGTGCTTTGGGTGGGCAAAAGCACCAGAGGCAGTGCTGGCCCTCTCCCTCCCACGCTGGCGGCAGAGCTGGGCGCTGCCTAGCCCCATCACGCCTACCTCCATACGGGCAGACCCTGCTGGATGCCTCATCCCAAAGGGAAGCCCAGCACTTCCTATATTACTAGATTAGGATTCCCATTGCAGTAGTTATATATAAATATATAGGCACGTATATGTACATATTTTAGAAACTGTTATGCATTAGCAAACTCCCCAGGAAGCCTTTTTTTAGAGGTGTTATCAACAGGATGTACCTTGAATATGTGACAGCCGGGTGGGAAGCCCCGAATAAGGGCTTTTCTTTACAGCCTCACTGTGCCCAGCATCCCCTGGCCTCTGCTGGGCTTCCTCAGGGCTGCCATACTGGAGACCCTTCCCCTCAGGACAGGTAGGAGTCGACATGACGCTGGCTCCCTCCATCGGCTGGCATTTTGGAGAGCTCATGAGCTTTTTTTGAAGTGGGGAACAAGCTCTTTGACATGGCTGCCTGCTTGGGGCAGGGGCCAAAAAAGCATCCAGGAAATATCTCCCAGTCATTGCCCTTTGGCAATAAATGAGGATAACAGGGCTGGAGCCATTAAAATCCCACCCAGCCACATGAGCTGGGGAAGGTTTGCAGATACCCCGGTATTATAGTCACCCTGCATAACGTTGTGTGATGGCTGTGAACCCCTCAGTGGAGCAAAAAGCACCTAAATCCATACGGTTTCAGGTCTGGTTGTACCTGGGTACAGCAGAGCATGGCAGGGTTTGGCACTACCATGCTGCAAGCTACGTAATGGTGGCAAACCATCACTCCAGCCTGTGGGAAAGGCCGTGGTTAGTGCACTAATGGCACTCACACCAGGGTTTGCACCCACACCAGGGTTTTCCCCTTGCAGCCACACGCTGGCTGTGGTGTAGAAATCCCTGCAGGGCAGATCCTGCTGGTGTTTGGGGTGATCGCTAGGTCCTGCTGCCTCCTAGTGATGCCCCTGCGGGTGGGCTTTGAGAGGAGCATGGGGATTCCCTTGCAAGATGTTTAGCTGGTCTCTGCTGGGCAAAATAGGATCTGCCTGTGGCTCGGCACTAAGTTTAGAAAACAAAGTTTATATAGCAAGCTTTTGGCTGAAAGAAGTTTAGAAAACAGAGTTTATATAGCAAGCTTTTGGCTGAAAGCTGTCTTTTTAATGATGAACGTGCATCCAGGTTTGCCTTCGGCACCATTCCCTCCTGCTCGTGACTTTGGGTAAGTCGCTTCCCCTTTCCGTGAATCTTTTTCTTCCTTTTTTTTTTTAACTCTTTCTCCATGTCCTCCCGTCAGGGGGAGGCTGTTGGAGGACTTCTCTTCCCTAAGCCTCAGCAAAGCATTTAGCACAAGGGGGCCTTGATGTTATGTTAACACCACTGGTGATGAGCGCAGGTAACTAAATGCACAAATGTATTTCAGCCTGTCCGGGACAGCCTGAGGAGGATGGGATTTCCACTGGAGCTTCAGGGAGGAAAAGAAAAAAAAGGGAAATACCGCAGCCCTTGCCTGTGCTGCTAACCTCGGGCAGGAAGGGGTGAGCTCAGCGCTTTGCTGAGCCGTGACTTCCAGACCAAGTCACCCGGAGCATCAGCTTGCCACCCCAACTGCTCCTGCATGCATTGTGTGCATGCCTGGAGGGCCGGCCGCATCCTGGCACGTCGTGTTGCTGTGCTGTGCTGCCATTTCCCTTCTTCAGATGCGGGTTTTGTTCTTTTGAACAAACACACGGGGCAGAACAACAAAAATAATCCCCCCTTTTCCCATTGATCTCGACGCTGGGGCTGTGTGAACCAGCAGCCAGCTGCGGTCGCAGCGAAGTCCTCGGGGCATCGCTCGCCAGCCGCGGCAGGGTCAGGGGTTATTTGTACTGAGAAATCCCTGGGAAAGAGACACTTCCTTTTCGCTGGAAGAGGAAAGGGCCACGAGGTTGGGATTGTCTGGGCTGGTGAGCTCCACTGGTATCACAGCTCTCACTTTATTGTAGCAGTTATTAATAAAAGCCCCAGAGGTAAGAGGCTGGCTGGAGCCCAGTGAGCTCCCAGCGTGCTTAGGAGGGAGGAAGGGCTCTGTCTGCCATCGAGCTTTGCATGGGGCATGTGCAGCAGCACTCGCCCTCTCCAGGGCCGGGAGCTGCTGTGTGAGGTGGCAGCAGCTGCTCCAGGTCACCTCGGGGAGTGCAGAAGGGCCAGGAGCTCACCCCAAATCTTTGTCCTCATGTGCTGCCACAGCAGGGGTGCCAGCCAGCATCCTGGTGCGAATTCATCACTGCAAGCGTGCCCACACATGCAGCTGCCTTCATAGGTGACCAAAATTTCTCTTTCTCCTCCCAGAAACCTCCACCCCTGAAGACTCTAGCCTTGGGTTTCACGTTGCACCAAGCCTCTGCCCTCACCCTGGCCAGCCCTGCCCACAATGGCATTGTGTCTCAAGCAAGTCTTCAACAAAGACAAAACATTTCGTCCCCGAAAGAAGTTTGAGCCAGGCACCCAGCGCTTCGAGCTGTACAAGAAAGCCCAGGCCTCCCTCAAGTCTGGGCTGGACCTGAAAGCGGTGGTGCAGCTGCCTCCTGGTGAGAGCATCAACGACTGGATCGCCATGCACGTGGTGGACTTCTTCAACCGCATCAACCTCATCTACGGCACCATGTCGGAGTATTGCACGGAGAAGAGTTGCCCCATCATGTCGGGTGGGCTCAAGTATGAGTACAGGTGGCAGGACGATAGCAAATACAAGAAGCCAACCAAGCTGTCGGCCCCGCAGTACATGTGTATGCTGATGGACTGGATTGAGATGCTCATTAACAACGAGGACATCTTCCCCACCAGGATAGGTGAGTGTTCTCTGGCTCTTTGCGGGAAGGCTGGGGTTGTAACTGATGCAGGTTCCTAAGCCGTTGGTGCACGTCAGGGTTGGTATTGCTAAACTTTGCGATCCCAAGAATTGCAGCCTTTCCTGTTACGGGTGTTCCTCAGTGTCTATCACACACCCCCTTGCTGCAAATTGAGCTTGGGATTCCTCATCCAGCTCCTAGGGGATGTGGAAAACAATGTTGTTCTTTTCTGTGCTTGAACTTTTTTCATGTATTCTGTGCCTATGAGAAATGAGGGCTGGCAGCTCACCAGCTCCCTTGCCCTTCCTCAAGGACCTAAGCCGCAGGGCTGGTTAGAGGTGGTCATCACATCCCTGCAGCGCACTTTTCTCTTGACCGACCTACTCCATTTCTTTCTGGTTTTCCATGTAGGTTCATGCTCCCAAGGTCTAACCCTCGTCCCACCTTGCTGCTCCACTTCTCAGCTCCTTTCCATCTCTGCTAATTCATCTCAGCCCTGATTATACATCACGTCTTGCTATTTAGCTGAGGCATCACCCAAGCAGAGATGCCTGACCCAGGATCTGGCCTTTCCAGCTGCCAACCCCCAGCATGTACGATGCATCCCTTCAAAATGTTTGGCCTCAAGAGCTTGCAGCAGCTGCCAAAGGCAACACAGCTTGCAAACTAACCCCTCTGCTGCTGACCTGCAGCGCTTGGCGGCTGCTGGGGCTGATACTTAGCTGCTTTCTTGTACTTGAAGAAGATGAGTTCAAGGGCCGGAGCTGATGCATTGGGTGGTGGGTCTGCCAGAGCCTCAGGTCGCACCTTGCAGTGGTTGCTTTTCAGATGAAATGCAAAGCTGCTTGAATGTAAAAGATGATTTAAGGAGCTTTGGGGGGAAACACCTGGCTTTGCAAGTCTGCTTGACTTTTTTTGTTTTCCCAAGTAGCACAGCTGATAGAGCCGTATGAAATCAGTGCAGTATAGGCTCAGGATTTTCATTAATATGCTGGGAAACATTGAAGAAAATGGTCTGTGCGAGATTACTGGCTGCCACTAATTGTTGTAGCCCTGTTTGGCTGTGCTGTAGCATCTAGTTGTGTGTCTTCTTTGGGAAAGTCTCCGGCCCTTGGAGGCTCAGAGGGGTTGCGGCTCTCTGCAAGCAAGAGGGAGGCAGTGCCTGCAGGCTGGTTGTGCCAAACTCTTAATTTCAGCCTTCTGGGATAGGGTGAACCCCCAGACCCCTGGTCTGACCTGGCTGCACTGGCTATGCCTGGGGTTAGGGTGGTACAACCTGCCTTCCGGGGCTTGCTTTTTTCTCTCACTCCATCACCTGAAGCCAAGACCTGCAGGCAATAGCTGCCTCCTTCCCCTCGCTGGCGGTCTGGGTAGCGCAGTGCTGGATCCTTGTGCCAGAGGACAGGCAGATAGGCTGCCTTCAGGGCATGCAGGGGAGTCAGCCCTTGGCATTCACTGGAGGCATCTGCTGTGCCATGGAGGCATCCCTCCCTCGTGGGCTCAGTGGGCTCCACACATCACGGCGGACAGAGGAGGCTGGAAGTGTGGCTGGCCGACAGTGTTGGTGCAGGATGCTCTGTGCTGGCAGCCCCAGCTCTGTTGGGGACAACAAAGTCCCTGTTGATTCTGGCCGCAGCTGGGCACAGGCTCGCTGCTGCCAAGGGGCAAAACAGCAGCCACAGGGTACAGGCTGGATCTTCCATCTTCCAAGGTGGCTTTTTCCCAAGGAGAAGCTCTGCGTGCTGTTAAAAACAGGGGTGCAGATGTGGATTTACTCCATTTTTCCTTCCAGCCAGAAAGGAGAGTGTCCTGGTCCAATTTCATGTCTTTCAAGTAGGATTTGGGATATGATGTTGCTTGAAAGCTGCTCTGGGGAGTCAGGGCTACAGGGAGTCTTAACACTGCAGAAAGCAGGCAGCCACGGGGGGACGGTGGCATTGCAGCACCCTCCACTCTCCCACGTCTCCTTTTGAGGCGCAACAGCCAAGTACAGTAATGGCCCTGATGGTTTTCACCCTGTCTCTGGCACTTCTCTCTCCGAGGTGTAACACATCCCGACATGAGGAGGGACGGCTGGTGCCTCTGGTTTCCGCTTCTCCTTTCGTTTTGGTGTGGGGGTAGTTCTGGGTGAGATCCAAGCTGGCTGCAGGCAGTTGTGGGGCAAACCCACTGTTTTTCTCTTCCAAAGCCATTCCCAGGGTCTCTCTTCCAAGCCCCTTTCTGGGGGGCACACCCTCATCTCCCTGAGTCAGTTCAGACCCCTTGCTGCCGTGTCTAGGTGCTTCTGGCCTCACGTATGTAAAAGGGAACTTAGCCTGAGATCTCACTTCAAAACACACGAAAGGCTGTTGTTGTCGGCAGGGGGAGGAGGGAGCTGGTGGCAGTTTGTCTTCAGTATGTCCCCAATAAACTGCCTTTCACTGGCCTGCCTTGTGCTCGGCAGCTCTGGCATTTCAGAAGATGGAGGTGTTTGGCCGAAGGGAAATGTCACATCCGCCCATTCCTGACGAGCTGCTTCTCCTCACCGCACCGGATGATGGGGGAGGCTGGGGGACGCGCAGCGGGGAGGGATGCCGGGCTCAGGGACGGCGGCCAGGCCTAAAGAGCCAGCCCCTTGGGAAAAGACCCAGGACAAGGGGAATAAGAGGACACAGGAGAGATGTGAGCTATTTTAAGGAGGGGAAAGGAGTCTGATGAGGTGATGGGGAGGAATTATAAATTTCAGGCTTTGGAGTCGCAGCGAGGCTCTTAAATCCTATCTCTGCTGCTAATACTGATCATGAAGGTTTGTTCCGCTCCTGCTTGTAACAGAGAGATCCACCAGCATGGGTGATCACCGTCTCAGTGGGTGCTTCATGAGCTGTGCGCATCTCAGCTTTCCCCCCGGCCCCTCTTTGCCACGTGCAATAAAACTGTCCCAGCACAAAGATTTCCCTGGCTAAGGCCAACTGACCACAAACAAAACAGACTTTTCTTTTTTATTTTTTCTTTTTTAGAAACAGCAAGTGTTCCCCAAACTTGCTAATGTTGCCTGAGGCTAACCTCAGCATCCTTCTCCATCCAAAAGCTACAAAGCCTGAAGTAGCACATGATTCAGCGGGGCTCACTCATGGCTGTCCTGACAGTTAAGGGAGAGGTATCTCATGGGTCAGAGTGGGGAAATCCTTCGCCTGGGGGTGAGAGGCTGAGCTGGAAATGAGCAGAGATGGTTCACTGGCTTGTGGGCTCACAGAGTCCTTCAGCATCACGGGGGAGACCTTGGCTGGGGTAAATGGGCACAACTCCAGTGACTGGAGCAGAGCTGGGCTGTTTTGTACCACTAAAGCATCTGGTCATTCAGCATGTGTCAGAGGTGGGAGGGGAGCAGAGCGACCCGGGTGACAAACACCGTTGGTTTAGCCAAACTGTGCGATGCAGAGCTTGTGCTGGCTCTGCAGCGAGGCCGGAGGGGCAGCCGACATCCGAAACGGCAGCAAGGGAGCCCAACGCCAGCAGACAGCTTGTGGCCTGGCAGAGTTAATCAGCAGGACTGCAGCCCTCAGATGGCACGCTTGCACCAGTAGAAAATCCCTATGGTGGTTTAATGGGGCCGCGGGGGCTGCCAAGCCCTCTGCATATCACAGCAAGGGTGTGGGGGGGAGATACTGTGTCTTCCCCATTCCCAGGGAAATCCACCTGCAGGGCTCTGTCCCACTTAAAGACTTTGCTGTATAATCCTTCCTCTGGAGCGGAAACCTGTTTGTCTGCCAGTCAGGATGAGACAAATCCCTGCATGGGGTGAGCTATGCCAACTTGATCGCTATAAATCTACAGCAGCAGCAGCTTTCCCAGACGACCTGTATCAATTTGCATGTGCTAGCGCTCCGTTTCCGCTCTTC